GGGTGGGTGGAAGCCTGGCTGGGTGGAAGCATGGCTGGGTGGGTAGGAAGCCTGCTGGGTGGGTGGAGCCTGGCTGGGTGGGTGGAAGCCTGGCTGGGTGGGTAGAAGCCTGGCTGGGTGGGTGGGAGCCTGGCTGGGTGAGTGGAAGCCTGGCTGGGTGGGTGGAAGCCTGGCTGGGTGGGTAGAAGCCTGGCTGGGTGGGTAGAAGCCTGGCTGGGTGGGTAGAAGCCTGGCTGGGTGTGTGGAAGTCTGGCTGGGTTGGGTTGGAGCTGGCTGGGCTGTGGGTGAGAGCCTGGCTGGGTGGGTGGATGCTGGCTGGGTGGGTGGAGAGCCTGGCTGGGTGGGGTGATAGCCTGGTGGTGGGTGTGAGCTGGCTGTGGTGGGTGGAACTGGCTGCTGGGTGATAAAGCTGGCTGGGTGGGTAGAAGCCTGGCTATGTGGGTAGAAGCCTGGCTGGGTGGGTAGAAGCCTGGCTGGGGTGCTAGAGGCCTGGCTGGGGTGCTAGAGGCCTGATTGGGGTGCTAGAGGCCTGGATGGGGTGCTAGAGGCCTGGTTGGGGTGCTAGAGGCCTGGCTGGGGTGCTAGAGGCCTGACTGGGGTGCTTGAGGCCTGGCTGGAGTGCTAGAGGCCTGGATGGGGTGCTAGAGGCCTGGCTGGGGTGCTAGAGGCCTGGCTGGGGTGCTAGAGGCCTGGCTGCTTGAGTGCTAGAGGCCTGGCTGCTGGGATGCTAGAGGTCTGGCTGCTGGGATGCTAGAGGCCTGGATGTGGTGCTAGAGGCCTGGCTGGGGTGCTAGAGGCCTGGCTGTGGTGCTAGAGGCCTGGCTGGGGTGCTAGAGGTCTGGCTGCTGGGGTTTTAGAGGTCTGGCTGCTGGGGTGCTAGAGGTCTGGCTGCTGGGGTGCTAGAGGTCTGGCTGCTGGGGTGCTAGAGGTCTGGCTGCTGGGGTGCTAGAGGTCTGGCTGCTGGGGTGCTAGAGGTCTGGCTGCTGGGGTGCTAGAGGCTTGGCTGCTGGGGTGCTAGAGGCCTGGCTGCTGGGGTGCTAGAGGCCTGGCTGCTGGGGTGCTAGAGGCCTGGCTGCTGGGGTGCTAGAGGCTTGGCTGCTGGGGTGCTAGAGGTCTGGCTGCTGGGGTGCTAGAGGCCTGGCTGCTGGGGTGCTAGAGGCCTGGCTGCTGGGGTGCTAGAGGCCTGGCTGCTGGGGTGCTAGAGGCATGACTTAGTCTCACAAGTTAGTCAAGAGATTTAGTTTTTAATGGAATGTCAATTTGTAATGTGTGAACCAGTTAAAGATCCCTTCCTTCCCTCCCTTCCTTCCTCCCTCTTTCACTTCCTTCTCCCCTTCCTCCCTCTCTTCCTTCCCTTCCTTCTCACATGACTGTCATCCTGCTCCTTCTCCTGACCCACTGTCTCTCTTCCTCTCTCATTTTTCCTTTCCTGTCTCTTCCTTCCTCCCAAAGGGTAGTAAACCGACTTTTTTTGCTGGTGGACTGCGGCAGAGTAGAGTTACCTCGGGACGTGGCTGGAATAATTTCCACAGCTCCACATCCTGTGTTTGTATATGTGTATGTGTGTGTGTGTTTGTAGCTTGAACGAGCTGGAACGTTCCCCTGAATGAATCTACTTGGACTTCCTACTCATTGCTGCAACACTGCAAGCTCCTGATGATGTACTGATTGGAACACGAAAGGCCTAGATTTATAATTAAACTCCCCCGTGGTTGTTTTGCATCTTGTACCGGTTGTTCGCGTTATATATATTATATATATATATATATATATATATATATATATATATATATATATATATATATATATATATATATATATATATATATATATATATATATATATATATATATATATATATATATATATATATATATATATATATATATATATATATATATGTATATCACTGGTAATTGATATCGTGACTAACTTGTTTAAATATCAATGAAAAGCTGTGTTAACTCACACGTCAGAGAGCAGCAGTTTGCTGCGACTGACGCACAACATTGATCCTCCGATGTGCCATCGCCGATTTCTGGTCGTAAACGATGAAAAGTCGGTCCGTTCACACGATAAGTTATGTTTTTTATGTATGTTGTTTCATAGCGTTGTTTTTTACGACCTTCAGTTTGTTTTACTTTCGTTGAAAGTGCATTCGCTGCCAATGGATTTTATATTGCCAAATGGATTGTTTTGTGTGTGTTATGGCCGTGGCGTGGCCTCCGACGTGCGTCCGACGTGCGTCAGAGTTGACCAGGAATGTTGCGACACTCATACGTCACCTGGTAACTCAACTTCTGAATAACTCTTGAGAGAGAGGGGAGGGGGGGGGCTAGATGGGATCAAACCTCAGCAGGTGTTCTGGCACAAATATGTTGGTAGAAATTGACGCTCGGGAGAGATTAGTGGGAAATGTGTGTGCAGTGGGTTCACACTCCTGGCTTCGTGATCCTTATAATATCTCTTCTTAAAGCTGTGTACGATCATCGCCTCTACCACCACATCGGTCCATTTTCTGACCGTTCTGTTGCTGAAGAAATATTTCGTAATATCCCTGTGACTCATCTGTGTCTTCAACTTGCAGCTGTGCCCTCCTGAACCTTTTTTTTTTTTTGCCTCTCGAACATCCTGTCCCGGTCCATCTTCTCAAGCAATTGGGGTATTTTGCGTGATGTCGTCATACCTCGCCTGCCTCCTGTTTCCTAATGTCACGAGGTTCGGTTCCATTAGTCTCGTACCTCTGAGCTGTGGAACCAGTCTCGTTGTCAACCTTTGTACTGGGTCTGCTGTTGCAGTGTTTATTTCTAGCATTTTGGGGGAGATCTTCATGAGAGGTACGACGTGCTATGATTGTTTTGCTTCAGTCACCGAAGAAGAGTCACCAAAGAGGAAATTATGCGTAATGTTAAGTTTTTGGTCTACCTGGAGGGTATATCTGGAGAGTATACCTGGTGTTCCGGGGGTCAACGCCCCCGCGGCCCAATCCTTGACCAGGCCTTCCTGTTCTGCTCATTTTATGCGTGATGTAAGTAACTATGACTCGGGGGTTCTATATAACTCTGAAGGTAATGTTAGGGATATGCAAGCAGTGTTCCTGTCCTCTAGCATAGTGTTCCTGTCTTCAAGGTTGGTGTTCCTGTCCTCTAGCCTAGTGTTCCTGTCCTCTAGCTTGGTGTTCCTGCCTGTAGCCTATTGTTCCTGCCCTATAGGTTGGTGTTTCTGTCCTCTAGCCTAGTGTTCCTGTCCTCTAGCCTAGTGTTCCTGTCCTCTGGCTTGGTGTTCCCGTTCTCTAGCTTGTTGTTCCTGTCCTCTAGCCTAGTATTCCTGTCCTCTAGCTTGGTGTTTCTGTCCTTTAGCTTGGTGTTCCTGTCCTATAGCCTAGTGTTTCTCTCCTCTAGCTTGGTGTTCCTGTCCTCTAGCCAAGTGTTCCTGTGCTCTAGCTTGGTGCTCCTGTCCTCTAGCATAGTGTTCTTGTCCTCTAGCTTGGTGTTCCAGTCCTCTAGCCGAGTGTTCCTGTCTGATAGCCTCCTGCTCCTGTCCTCTAGTCTCTTGTTACTGTGAGTGTTGTACAGCTAGTGGAAGATATTATGTGTAAGGAAGTAGAGGAGAGCTAGCCTGGTGCGTGTGTTGTGATAGTGTGGTGGCCCCCAGGGAGGTGTTCCTGTGCTCTCTCTCTTCAATCTGCAGAGAGTGTTACTGCTGTTAGGAATTAGAGAGGATCAGAAGTTGAGTGCCCTGTCAATAAATCCGTGAGTACTGCAATTAGCTGGGGAGAGTGAAGGTCGTGGTGTCCGGACTAAGAGTTTGGCTCTGTGGAACAAATTCGTCTCGATGTAAAAACATCCGCCAGGCAAACTGTGGGTGGACATATATGTAATGTTGACAAGTGTAATGGATTAAAGTCCTAGAGGAAAAGACTGTGCTGTATTTAGTATTGTGTGTGGAGTTTGTAGTTTTTGTATATTGTCGATTGTGAGGTAGATTTAAGGATGTAAGGTAAAGTATATAAGTAGCCCTCACACAGGAGAGGGAGAGACTCACAACGACGTTTCGGTCCAACTTGGACCATTAATAAGTCACACTAGTATGACAGTGTTACTTGCTAATGGTCCAAGTCGGACCATTACGTCTTTGTGAATTTCTGTCTTCTGTGTGCGGGTTATCTGTGTGTTGTTGCAGTCACGGTATTGTTGCAGTCACGGTATTGTTGCAGTCACGGTATTGTTGCAGTCACGGTATTGTTGCAGTCACGGTATTGTTGCAGTCACGGTATTGTTGCAGTCACGGTATTGTTGCAGTCACGGTATTGTTGCAGTCACGGTATTGTTGCAGTCACGGTTTTGTTAGTCACGGTATTGTTGCAGTCACGGTATTGTTGCAGTCACGGTATTGTTGCAGTCACAGTATTGTTGCAGTCACGGTATTGTTGCAGTCACGGTATTGTTGCAGTCACGGTATTGTTGCAGTCACGGTATTGTTGCAGTCACAGTATTGTTGCAGTCACGGTATTGCGCCTCGTTGGTCTGAAGATCAAATACCTTGAGAATAAACAACGATATTTGATGTAGCTAATGTGTTAACACAGCCTTTGTTGTCTCTAACATCTGTGGCCCCACAGGTGTTCATCCATGCCTTACCAGGGTCGAGGCCCAGCTCCTGGCCCTGCCTCCTTTCCGGCCGCTACTGGGTTTTTCACTCCCTCCTGGCTTTGAAAGCCTTATCGTACCTGTTCTTAAAGCTATGTGTGGATCTTGTCTCCACCACGTCACTCTTCAGGTCGTGTCACTTCCTGACAACCCTGTGAGTCAACTTCCAGCTCTGCCCACGTATTCAGGTGTGCGATGCCAAGTGTAAGATAAATGTATTTAACCAGTGCAACTCCATTTCCTTGGATTGAGAGCCTTTAAACGACATTAATATAATAATAATAATAATAATAATAATAATAATAATAATAATAATAATAATAATAATAATGATAATAGGTACTTACTGACCTTAAGTAAGATAGGGCGAGTCCTTGTAGTGCCAAGGCATCAGAGTGCCACGTATAACTCACTCTCTACTGTCAATGCAATTTACAGAATGCCAGAGGGATGCAAATGTCATTTCTAGAGTGCCAGGTGTGCCAGGTGTAAGTTAGACATAGTGATGTAGGTTAGAGAGTGCCAGGGTAGAACTGAGTAGCTTTAAGGGGCAAGAGGGCCAGTTTAGAGTGCCAGGATGACGACACTTAGAGTGCAGCTGCCTCGGAGAGGAGTACATAGAGCCATACATAGTGCCAGAGTGGCATCATACATAGTGATACATAGCGCCAGTGACACTGTAATAGTGATATATAGTGCCAGGGTGGCACTATGCATAGGGTGATACATAGCACCAGGGTGGCACTATACACAGACTGATACACAGTGCCAGAGTGGCACCATACAGTGATACATAGCGCCAATGACACTATACATAGTGATGCATAGTGCCAGGGTGGCACTATACATAGGGTGATACATAGCACCAGGGTGGCACTATACGTAGACACACACAGTGCCAGAGTGGCACCATACATAGTGATACATAGCGCCAGTGACACTATACATAGTGATATATAGTGCCAGGGTGGCACTATGCATAGGGTGATACATAGCACTATGGTGGCACTATACATAGACTGACACAATGCCAGGGTGGCACCATACATAGGGTGATACATAGAGCCAGTGCACTATACATAGTGATAAAGTGCCAGGGTGGCACCATACATAGGGTGATACATAGAGCCATGGTGGCACTATACATAGACTGATACACAGTGCCAGAGTGGCACCATACATAGTGATACATAGCGCCAGTGACACTATACATAGTTGTATATAGTGCCAGGGTGGCACTATACATAGGGTGATACATAGCACTATGGTGGCACTATACATAGACATATACAAGTGCCAGTGGCACCATACATAGGTGATACATAGTACCAGGGTGACACTATACATAGTGATATATGTGCCAGCCAGTGGCACATATGCATAGGGTGATACATAGTACATTTGGTGGATAACAAAAGATACAGAAGCCAGGAGTAGGAATCTAGGTGAACACAGGTGCACAAGATAGCTGATAACAGGTGCTAGGTGAGGCTAGGATAAACACAAGTGAGCACTATAGTTAATTGTGCTAGGATAACATAGAGGTGAACATAGCTGGAGGACACAGTGCTGATAGAGTAGGGTGGACAATCTAGGATAGACACAGGTAGCAGATGACAAGAGTAGCTAGGATGACACAGTAACTAGGATGAGGCTAGGATAAACAAGTAGCTAGGAGAGGCTAGGATGACATGTGGTAGCTAGGATGAAACACAGTAGCTAGGATGAGACAAGGAAGCTAGAGACACAGGTAGCTAGGATGAGCATAGGATAACACAGGCAGCAGGATGAGGCTAGGATAACAGGTAGTAGGTGAGGCTAGGATAACACAAGTAGCTAGGAGCTAGGATACATGGTAGCTAGGATGGGCTAGGATAACAAGGTAGCTAGGATGAGGCTAGGATACACTGGTAGCTAGGATTGAGACAAGTTGCTAGGATGAGACTAGGATACACAAGTAGCTATATGACTGACAGGTAGCTAGGATGAGGCTAGGATAACACAGGATAGCTAGGATGAGGCTAGGATTTAAAACAGTAGCTAGGATGAGGCTAGGATAACACAGGTAGCTAGGATGAGGCTAGGATAACACAGGTAGCTAGGATGAGGCTAGGATAACACAGGTAGCTAGGATGAGGCTAGGATAACACAGGTAGCTAGGATGAGGCTAGGCTAGGATAACACAGGTAGCTAGGATGACTAGGATAACACAGGTAGCTATGATGTGGCTAGGATAACACAGGTAGCTATCATGAGGCTAGGATAACACAGGTAGCTAGGATGTGGCTAGGATAACACAGGTAGCTAGGATGAGGCTAGGATAACACAGGTAGCTAGTATGAGGCTAGGATAACACAGGTAGCTAGGATGACTAGGATAACACAGGTAGCTAGGATGTGGCTAGGATAACACAGGTAGCTAGGATGAGGCTAGGATAACACAGGTAGCTAGGATGAGGCTAGGATGACACAGGTAGCTAGTACGAAGCTAGGATATCACAGGTAGTTAGGACGAGGCTAGGATAACACAGGTAGCTAGGACGAGGCTAAGATAAGACAGGTAGCTAGTACGAGGCTAGGACGACACAGGTAGCTAGGATGACAAAGGTAGCTAGGATGACACAGGTAGCTAGGACGCAGCTAGGATGACACAGGTAACTAGTACGAGGCTAGGATAACACAGGTAGCTAGGACGAGGCTAAGATGAAACAGGTAGCTAGTACAAGGCTAGGATGACACAGGTAACTAGGATGAGGCTAGGGTGAGGCTGGCCTAGCTGGGCAGCAGCACCTCTCGCCTCAGACACAACCAACGCTACACTGACCTCCCCCGCCCCTCACCCTCTCTTATATACTGCCTAGCTCCCAGCCCTCCCCTTACTTTCCCCTCTTCTTCCCCCTCTCCATCCCCTCCTCTTTCTCCCGCCTCCATTTCCCCTCCCTTTTCCCCCTCCCCCTGCCCTCAGGAGGAGTGGACAGGGGGTCTGTCACCCCCCTCTCCTTTGAGAACATCTTAACAACCCCTCACCCTACTCCCCTTCCCCTTTAAAATACAAATAATAACTTCTCCCTTAGTTTCTCCCATTCAACTTTCACCCCACCCTTTTATTCCATCATTTCCCCTCGTAAGATAAATGCTCGGCTCCCTTTACATCCTTCCTAAGGGGCGAGCGAGGAAAGTTAGGGGGTGGAAGGGTAAGAGAAGGGGGTGGGGAGGGGGAGTGGGAGGGGGGGGGAGGGGGTTACTGTAGTACTACTGCACCAGCTTAGCAAATTTAACTCTACAAGAGAGAGAGAGAGGAGAGAGAAAAGGAGGGGGGAGAGAGACGAGGAGAGGGAGAAGAGGAGAGAGAAAAGAGAGAGAGAGAGAGGAGAGAGAGAGAGAGAGAGGGGATGGAGAGAGAGGGGAGAGGGGAGAGAGAGGGGAGAGAGAGAGAGTTACTACTTAACCTTCTTCAAAATTTTCGTTGGACAGTGTCGACATGACAGTGTTCTTGTCTGTCATGATATACTGACGTGTGACACTGACAGTGTTCTGTCTGTTCATGTTAACTGACAGTGTCGAAACTGACAGTGTCTTGTCTGTCTGTATAAACATGACAGTGTCGAAAATTGAAGTGTTCTGTCTTCAGTCTAACTGACAGGGGTAGACACTGACAGTGTTCTTGTTGTCAGTCTAAATGGGCATGTCGAAAACTGCAGTGTTCTTTGTCTGTTTTGTCTAACATGAAGTGTCGACATTGGGAAAGTTTCTGCTGATGTTAACATGACAGTGCGCACCTGACAGTGTTCTGTTGTCATGCTTACTTGACAGTGTCGACATGACAGTGTTCTTGTTGCATGTCTAAACTTTCAGTGTCGGACATGACAGTGTTTTGTTGTCCATGTCTAACATGCCAGTGTCGACATTGACAGTGTTTCTTGTTGTCATGTCTAACATGACAGTGTCGACATTGACAGTGTTCTTGTCTGTCATGTCTAACATGACAGTGTCGACATGAGTGTTCTTGTCTGTCATGTCTAACATGACCCGTGTCGACATTGACAGTGTTCTTGTCTGTCATGCCTAAACATGACAGTGTCGACATTGACAGTGGGTTTTTGTCTGTCATGTCTAACATGACATGTCGACACTGCAGTGTTTTGTCTGTCATGTCTAACATGACAGTGTCCGACAATGACAGTGTTCTTGTCTGTCATGTCTAACTGCAGTTTTTCGGACATGACAGTGTTCTTGTCTGTCATGTCTACATGACAGTGTCGACATTGACAGTGTTCTTGTCTGTCATGTCTAACATGACAGTGTCGACATTGACAGTGTTCTTGTCTGTCATGTCTAACATGACAGTGTCGACATTTGACAGTGTTCTTGTCTGTCATGTCTAACATGACAGTGTCGACATTGACAGTGTTCTTGTCTGTCATGTCTAACATGACAGTGTCGACACTGACAGTGTTCTTGTCTGTCATGTCTAACATGACAGTGTCGACATTGACAGTGTTCTTGTCTGTCATGTCTAACATGACAGTGTCGACATTGACAGTGTTCTTGTCTGTCATGTCTAACATGACAGTGTCGACATGACAGTGTTCTTGTCTGTCATGTCTAACATGACAGTGTCGACATTGACAGTGTTCTTGTCTGTCATGTCTAACCTGACAGTGTCGACATGACAGTGTTCTTGTCTGTCATGTCAACATGACAGTGTCGACATCTGATAGTGTTCTTGTCTGTCATGTCTAACATGACAGTGTCGACATGACAGTGTTCTTGTCTGTCATGTACTAACATGACAGTGTCGACACTGACAGTGTTCTTGTCTGTCATGTCTAACATGACAGTGTCGACATTGACAGTGTTCTTGTCTGTCATGTCTAACATGACATGTGTCGACACTGACAGTGTTCTTGTCTGTCATGTCTAACATGACAGTGTCGACACTGACAGTGTTCTTGTCTGTCATGTCTAACATGACAGTGTCGACACTGACAGTGTTCTTGTCTGTCATGTCTAACATGACAGTGTCGACATTGACAGTGTTCTTGTCTGTCTTTGTCTAACATGACATGTCGACACTGACAGTGTTCTTGTCTGTCATGTCTAATCATGACAGTGTCGACACTGACAGTGTTCTTGTCTGTCATGTCAACACTTGACAGTGTCGACTTTGGGACAGTGTTCTTGTCTGTCATGTCTAACATGACAGTGTCGACACTGACAGTGTTCTTGTCTGTCATGTCTAACATGACAGTGTCGACACTGACAGTGTTCTTGTCTGTCATGTCTAACATGACAGTGTCGACACTGACAGGGGTTCTTGTCTGTCATGTCTAACATGACAGTGTCGACACTGACAGTGTTCTTGTCTGTCATGTCTAACATGACAGTGTCGACACTGACAGTGTTCTTGTCTGTCATGTCAAAACATGACAGTGTCGACACTGACAGTGTTCTTGTCTGTCATGTCTAACATGACAGTGTCGACATTGGACAGTGTTCTTGTCTGTCATGTCTAACATGACAGTGTCGACACTGACAGTGTTCTTGTCTGTCATGTCTAACATGACAGTGTCGACACTGACAGTGTTCTTGTCTGTCATGTCTAACATGACAGTGTCGACATTGACAGTGTTCTTGTCTGTCATGTCTAACAGGGACAGTGTCGACATTGACAGTGTCTTGTCTGTCATGTCTAACATGACAGTGTCGACACTGACAGTGTTCTTGTCTGTCATGTCTAACATGACAGTGTCGACATGACAGTGTTCTTGTCTGTCATGTCTAACATGACAGTGTCGACATTGACAGTGTTCTTGTCTGTCATGTCTAACATGACAGTGTCGACACTGACAGTGTTCTTGTCTGTCATGTCTAACATGACAGTGTCGACACTGACAGTGTTCTTGTCTGTCATGTCTAACATGACAGTGTCGACACTTGACAGTGTTCTTGTCTGTCATGTCTAACATGACAGTGTCGACATTGACAGTGTGTTCTTGTCTGTCATGTCTAACATGACAGTGTCGACACTGACAGTGTTCTTGTCTGTC